TCGAGTACCGTAATAACTAATCTTCTTTTTACGGTATTGTTAATACCGTAATTGTTTGAATTATTACCGTAATTTGTGTTGAAGTCCTTACGGTATTCTTATTACCATAGTAGGTTGAAAAGCTTCAAACCGAAGCTAATATCAGAGTTACCTCTCTCCTCCCTGTCCTCCTCGTAATTATCTGTAAATTACAAAAATGAAAGAAAAAAATTTCAAATTACAAAAGATCTCACTAATTCAAATAAAATCAGGTTTTTTGCTAAATAAACCTTACAATAGGAAAACCCGAACAGAAATCATGTGCAACGAAATACTATCATCCAAATATAGAGAAATTTTAAGCAAAAACCTGTATAACTCCCGTTGTCAAGATTTAAGACTGAAGGTGCATCAGGCATGGTTGAGAGGAAGGGAAACAATGAGAAAAGTAACATTAAATTTTCAAAAGAAAGAGGAGAAGGGTAACCCTGATATTAGTTTCGGTTTGAAGTTTTTCAACCTATTACGGTAATAAGAATATCATAAGGATTTCACCACACATTATGGTAATTTAATTACCATAATAATTCAAACAATTACGGTATTAAGAATACTGTAAAAAGAAGATTAGTTATTACGGTACTCGAAGTACCGTAATATAACTTCATATTATTACAGTATTTTATATACCGTAATACTATCTCAATTTGTAACAGTATTTAAATTACCATAAAGATCAAAATGTATTACGGCAGAAAGACTACCGTAATAGGTATTTTCGTCCAAAAAAAGTTGAAATTTGAGAAAAAAGGTGTGGGCAAGGATTTGAGAAGTGGGTTTTTTTTTTGCTATTTTATTAAAATTTAGGTATATTAGCGATAATTTCTGTAGGATTTAAGAACCTTCTTAGATACAAAAATATGAATCTCAAAGTTGGATTCCACCAAGACCGTGTACTTATCGAGCTAGAAACAAAAATAGGAGAGAGCATGAGTTATAATACGAGAAATAAAACATGAAACACACAACACAAGCACAAATATTGATACGAGAAATAAAGCATGAAACACAAAACACACAACACAAACACAAATATTGACATGGTTTATACAGGCACAACAAACTGAAATCCACTATACAATGAAAGTTACATTACAAATTTTGGGACATAGAGTTACCTCTATAACCCTCGACAAAGCTCAGTCGAGTAAACCCTTTTATACCTAGTCTCCTCATCAGTACCATCATTAATCTCATCTCTATTTCACAACTAAACCACTATCTAGGAAGAGACCATCTTCATTCCACAGCTAAACCATTGTTCAGGAGGAGAACTTTGAGAGCAATTGAGGCTTTTTCTCTTTAAAAGGGGAAACCATCCAAAATCTTCATGGGAACCACTTCTCTATAAAAAAATCAGTCTGTCAAACTACAAGAGGCACATCGGGGTGTTTCTTTCCATAGGAAGCCCTCTTCTCTCTAAGGGAGGCCGATGCTGAAGAGGCCCTGTCTCTTTCTTTAGAGGAAGCCGACGCAAATAAGGCATACAAATTCTCTGTACTTTATATATATAAATATATATATATATATATATATATATAAAATATTAAGAATCCACACTAAATAGAAAACTTCCTATAAGTGTTACGTATATTTCAAGAACAAAAAGATATATCCCAGAGTCCTAATCTTTTTGGATTTCTATTTCCTTTAAGAAACTTATCAATATCAATTTCAATCCCACATAATATGGGATTTTCTTATGTGGATGATTTTGGATAATCACCACATCCAAAAGAATATGTCATATTTTCTTTTTATCATAGTAAATTTTTCCTCAAGGAAGTTTCTCTCTAGCAATCTCCTTGTTTCTCTTCACTTTATGGTGAGGTTTGCCTAATGCGCTCTCCTTACACTGTAGAAATAAGGTGCACCTCTACCAGGAGTATTGAGAGATTCAAGTAGGTCTGTTATCTTATGTTATGTAGGGTCTTGTGGGCTTTCAACCTCAAATGAAGTGGGGTTTCGTGGTATTTTGCAGGGCATAAGATGCGTTAAAAGGAATTTGAGGGGGTCATAGTTATGGTGGAGGGTGATTATGAGAATGTCATAAATTGGTGCAACAAAATTTCAAAGCCTTCATGACGGTTTTATTCGATTTGGGTCAAGATAGCGGATTTGACTTCCCCTCTCTTTTAAACACGTCTAGCAGGAGGCAAATGAGATAGCATATGGTTTAGCTAAGTTTGGGGTGTCATTGGCTGAGACAATTGCCCTTGATGAACTACTTCATGTTTGATATTCTTGTAATAGCTTTTTGAGCAATAAAACTTCTTAATATTGTCAAAATAAAAAGAAATAAGGTATCCTACTAAATTTTGCATGAGATATATATATATATTTTGGGTAAATCAGTAGGGATTTGGACCCTTACCTGTCTTTCATTAATAAATAAGAATGGTACAAAAGGATAAAGAGTTTATGGTGCAGTTCTCTCATGAGAAGTCCTGACGATATCAGAATAAATTAGAGGAGAAATAAATTCAGGTGGCAGGGCATGCCAAACCGTGGCCTCAGAGAGACTTGTAGCATTCTTGGCCAAGTGCTTGGCCACCGAGTTGGTCTCTCGGTAGACATGCTTAATACTCCAGGGGCGGTCGTCCAAGTGGTAAAGGCAATTTAGTGTCATAATAAGGAGATTCCAGGGGGGGCTTATGGCGGCCGTAAAGGGACTGCACTAGAATATGCGAATCACTCTCAATTAGTAGTGGAAAGTAATGCAACTCAATAGCTAGCTAAATGCCCATATCAAGGGCTGAAAATTCAGCAACATTGTTAGATGTGTGCCCTAGAGGAACTACAAAAGCAGCACAAAATCCTCCCATATCGTTTTTGATAATTCCTTCATAAGCAGCTACTCCATGGTTGTAAAGGGACGAGCCATCAATGTTTAATTTATACAGACCTACTGAGGGTAGGGACCATGAGACCAATATCAAAGTTTTAGGATGCATTGGGTGCCACTAGATTTTTAGGTTATCAACTATAGGCTTCTCTTATGGGTGGAAAGTTCATCCTTTCACCTTTGCTAAGCCCACAACAATAGAAATGATCTAGTGCAATAGTTGTTCTCTTTTAGGTTTCTTTCCTTCAAAGATACACAAATTCCTCTTAGTCCAGAGGAGCCAGATGGTTATGGAGAATAGAGAAATCCAAACATTACATAATCTTGCTGATCGGAACCGAAATTTGATACATCTCCCAAATATTGAAGGTATCGATGAGACTATAGGGAAACTTTTGCCACATCACCATATAATAGACCGCTAGAGAACCAATGAGAAAGTACATAACAAAATAATATGGTTAACAGAATCACGTTCATTCAAGCACAAGCGGCAACGGTGTGCTAGATGGATCCCTCTGGACTGTAGTAGTTTAGATGTAGGGAGGCGAAGATGAAGGGCAATCCAAATGAACCATTTGACTCAAGAATGAGAATGAGAAGCCCATAAATTTTTGAAGATCTCTCTGGTGGGGGCCTTGTCTCTAATATAGTTCCAAGGGCTCTTAATAGAAAAGATCCATCCGAGGAGTGAATCCATACAAGGAAATCATCAAAAGGTTTAAGAGGGATTGTGAAAGACTTTACCGCTTGCCAAGCTCGAAACAAAAGCCTTGTAGTAGTTCTCCGCAGAGAGTAGGGTTCAGCGGTGAGGTAAGGCAGACACCATTATTGGGGATTATCAAAGAGAAAATCAGCATGACTAGACTTCGCAGGCAGAGCCAAGTCTTAATGTATATTATGTCCAAACTCATCCCTGAGAGAGACCTCTGAAAGTCATGGATCTGCTCAAAATTGGATGGAATTACTGTTACCGACAACTCACTTAACATTGCGCTTGAGTTTATTTAAACCAGAAGAGATGCCCTTCCAAGCGTGAGACGAATTCTTGGTCTTAGAGAGCCATATGGAGGAGTTTCTGAAATATCTGTGCTGGAAAAATCTAGAAATAAGTGATGAGGGTTTGCAACTAGCCTCCAAGCAAGCTTCATCATGCCAGCCAGATTCACATCTTGTGGATGTCTAATACCAAGACCTCCCTCCTCAAAGGGAAGACATATAGTCCCCTAATTTAGAAGATGTAGTCCCTTCATATCTAATGTACCTGCCCAAAGAAAGTTTCGTTGACATCTCTAAAATATTGCACATCTGAATTAGAAGAAAGAATGATAGAGTCCAGTAAATTGAGGAAGCACTTAAGACCGATTAATCAAATGAAGTATCCCTGCAAAAGATAATGTTAAAGCTTGTCAGGATCCAAGTTTAGCAACTGTCTTTCCCACTAAAGCCTAACAATGGGAGTATTTTAGAGCGCCATGAAAGAGAGGCAACCCAAGAGATATCGTTATGGAAATAACTTGAAAATCTAATTTTATTCCTAGTTAAAAAATGGTACAAATCGAGAATTTATAAACACTTGAAAATATTGAAAATAGACAATCTCGATAACTTGTTACAAGATATACAATTTTAAGACCTAAAATTTATTTTTTATTCATATCTATACAAAAATGACCTACAAATTATCCCGTTCCATTGTTTGATATTAGATGGCCTTATGAATATATATATATATATAAATTGGTCGGATGTTTCAAACATCTGACAGGGTCCAAAGCTGGAAAAACCAAAAAAAAAACGAGGGGATTAATCCTTCAGTGTAAATACCGCATATTTTGAGCCTTTTAATTGTAATGGAAAAATAAATCGGTACAAACATAATTTTTTCCCATACATCCCATGTCATCTTTACATATCTAATTTTTTTTTTTTCCAGTTCATGTTTGAGCTAGATGCAAAACAACAAGATTCTTTCCCCTCCCATAATAGACCATGAATGAGAAGATACTTATCCTTTCTCAAGGTCACTTTTGTCATTTGAAGAATTTAACATGAACCACATGACCATATCTTATTTATGGATAAAACTGGAAGCTGACATGGCCTTATCCAAAAATTGAAGCATGAAATGAAGAGGCTCAGCAGCCCCCAATCACCTACACACATTCTCTTCTCTTGTCATGGCCTTCTCAGCTGCATCATCCTCTCTTCTCCCTCCTAAATGCCCCAAATTCTCTCCTTATATCCCACAAAAGAGCAGAATTTCCAACTTCGTCCCAAATAGGATTACTGGTTTTGCCCCTAAGCAGAGGATGGTGAAGAAGCCCCTCACAGTGGTTTGTGCGGTGGGGGATGTATCCTCCAGTGGGACCTCATACCTCATTGCTGGTGCGGTCGCCGTTGCGTTAGTGGGAACTGCTTTTCCGATCCTCTTCTCTCGAAAAGATTTGTAAGATCGATTGCTCTTTATCTCTGCACAATAATGCACATTTTTTTCTTTCCCAACTTGTATTTCTCGTAGTTTTGTGATTTTGGGCTAGAGAAAAAAAGAGGAAAGGTAAGTTTTTGTGGATTTTTTTTTCAAATTTGGGTGAATGCATCTGAGGGCAAGATTTGTAAGATCGATTGCTCTTTATCTCTGCACAATAATGCACATTGTCTTTCCCAACTGATATTTCTCTTAGTTTTGTGATTTTGGGCGACGGAAAAAAAAGGAAAGGTAAGTTTTTGTGGACTTTTTTTTCCAAATTTGGGTGAATGCATTTGAGGGCGGGTGTTTGAGTGCTAATTTTTTCAGACACCGTTTTTACGAGTCTGTCGACACACATGTAGATATGTATCCTTTCTTCATGATCCATTTTTGACATAAAAAACTAAAAATAACAATTTTTGAAGGTTTTAGAGTCCTTAGAGCTAGCTCATTTGCTCTCCATTTTCTTTTTTCATTGAAATAAATGGCGAAAACTAGTAAAGGAAAAGTATACATAGAAACCTTCAATGGCTACAAATAGTCTCATTGGGTAGATATCAAATTAGGTGATTGTAAGAGTATGACTCGATTCAAAGTTAAAAGAAAAATTTTTAACTTCATGACACATCCCAAGTCATCTATTTGAACATCCCAAGTCATCTATTTGAACATGGTTAGAAGTAAATAATTGTGATCTCCTTGTAACAAAGATAAATGGTCTCATAGTATACAACCTTAATAGTAAAAACGTCTTCCATCCATACTATTAAGCTGGCACGGTCGATTTCGAAAACATTAAATTTTATTTATTAAGATTTATACTAGCAACCATTTGAATTTCAAACCGTTTGCTGCTCCTCAACAGTTAATGCCCACTATAATGCTAAGGATATCAATCCCACAATAAGATGATGTGAGAAAAATTAGACAGTTTGAGTGACCCTTCGACCAACCAATGGATGAGAAAGGACTTGCTTGAGTGCTAGCACATTGCAATGGAGGAACGTCCACTTTCTTTCTCCAAACCATACTAAGCCTTAGATTCCCAGCTAATTTTAATTTAAAATGGGAAAAATGTTTGGTGAGTCGTCGACTCACACTATTCTTGTGCGGTCTCTTCACAAAAGTATATCTCAAAGATGTATTTCGATCGTGGTCTCTCTACAAAAATATATCTCAAAGATGTATTTTCGATCACGGTCTCTCTACAAAAATATATCTCAAAGATGCATTTTCGTTCCAAAAGTTTAAAGTTCAATAATCTCAACCATGATAATGATCTAAATTTGGATTTCCCAAAAGTTTAAAGTTCAATAATCTCAACCATGATAATGATCTAAATTTAGATTTCTATTTTAAAAAAAATATAAATGTTGTTTTTTGAATTCCTTTCTTCAGTTTTAACTTTTAGTGAATGTAACATTTTTTGACGTCCATCTTAAAGATGGATGTTAAATAGACAAGGGACTGCACGGTAATAGGTGAGTGTGCCGACTCACCAAAACTGTGTCCTTTAAAATCACGTGGTCTAACTTCTCAACTATCTCTAATGGTGTTCATGGTGTATTTAACGTTTAAATGTGAATTTTGTACAACCTTGAACCTCGTCTCAATATCAGATATAATAGGATGTAAAGTTGCACCTTTAAAAGGAAAGCATAAAGCCTAGGCTTTACACAAAAAAGTGAATTTGCATCTTAAATCTCAAAAGAATTTTTTCAGGCGTTTGATGGATATGGAAGAAAAAAATTTCGAGCCTAAAATTAGTGTATATATTACCTAGATTATACATTTTTAAATGTCCACATATATGTCAAATTTACATTATTTTTGGAGCTTTAAATTTCATAACAAGAGGGGCAATAGATTTCAAACCATCTAAGGGGTTTCCAATGCCCAAGATTGTACCTTTTGCGGGGTTTTGAGGTGCGTCTTTGCAAACTACATTACTCTATTATTAAAAAAAAAAAAAAGAAGACCAAATTAAGGGCCACATGATAATTATGTGCGATACCAATGGACAATTAGAGGGTAGTATAGATTTAGTACTTTTTGTACCAATATAGGTTTTCCTTTATTTATTGGCTTTCACTTTTCCTTAAGTTATTTAAGTTACTTTTCTTTGATCTTTTGCAACCTAGTAACATTTTTCTATTTTCAATTTCATTGGATTGGAGATTTTGAATTTGTCACCATTACATGGTATTTTATCCCTTCTAAACCTGATATATATATCTTATCCCATCCAACATCAAATGCTTAGTATTTTTTTCCTTTACCTTGATCTCTTATAGCTGTATTTCTTATACCTTAGAATTTAAGAAATACAACAAAAGGAATTCCAATAATATATATCGCCATTGCATTACCTCAATTGTGCTATAAATCATTAGAAATAGAGATTATAAATGGTTGATTGTGAACACCATTAATTCCTGCACTGCACAAATTAGAGTTCATTAAAGTTAAAATGTTTATACTCCCCCCGGGAGTATACTATTCTTTTACTTCCCAAGTAAAACCCAATATAGGAGTAAATTTAGGGCCTCAAATTTCGGGAATTTAGCATTTTCACCCACAGACTATCCTTAATAAAAAAGAAAATTTTCTTTGTACTAAAAAAGGTCTCAGACTTGAACATAGACTGTCCAATTGAAGCGTGAGATCTAAGAGTCAAGAAGGCTAAAAAATTCACACTTTTTCTTTTGAAAATATTCATCTAGTAATTCTTCTTAGGTGGTTCCCAAAATTTTTCAGACAAAAATCAAATCCACCCAAGCAGTCTTTTGACTAGGGGAGTAGATGCACAATATGTCCTATAGAAATATAGTGTATGCGAGACTTCTTAAACTTATATCTTATGTGTTTCTACC